ATATATATATATATATATATAAAACACACACATGTATGTATATGTTAATGGGTTCTTTTTTCACCTTTTATCTTTCTGAATTTTTAGTAAATATTGTTCAAACTTCATGTTTTTATCCCTGCTGCAACACAATTATACCACAGGAAATACTGATATTTAGTGAAAGAGAGGATGTGGACCCAATTTGACTGATGGAAGAGTATGTAGAGAACATTAATGATCACATCTTTCTTTACCTTCTCAAAGTTAGCTCTTTGAGCTGAGTCTGGGTAAAGTTCAGAAATCAGAGAGATCTCGGTTCAAATCAGAGGTGAGACTATTTCCTAGCTGTGAAACCATAGGCAAGTTTACTTTTTCATCTTTCATAGAAAGAAAGATGTTGGAAATTAAATGTGATATACTCATAAAGTACAATGTCTGGCCCATGGTGACACTGAATACAGTGAAACTTTCCTTTTTCCTTCTTTTAATCATTGTTCCTGAAGTGAGCTAAGTGGGAACAGCAAAGCTTATTGCAGTGATGGTGAATGTTTTTGGGCTTTCAGTGTTAACAAACAGCCCATCACTTGCCTGTAGCAAAGCAGTGGTCACATGTGCCTGTTACTCCTAATTAACCTGAGAAGTCTTTGATCACAGAAGATCTGGGCTTTTGTTTTGTTTTTTTACCTTGGAAGTAATCATGATAGGGATAATTTGAAAGCATTTGCTGATCATGAAATAAATAGAATTTGTTGCATTAGAGTTATCAAAGTTTTTAATAAACATGTTCTTTGTACTTGTTTTTAGGCTTTACTTTAAATCTTAAAAATAAATTCTTTTTTTTCTCACAGTTCCAGCTGTTGACTTTGACTTTCCAGAACTAGAACACATTTTTCCAAATTTGCATCGTCAGCTCTTTAAACCTTTAGAACCACATCCTGACTTTGATTTATCATCATCATCCTCTGGGATTTCTCAAGACAACAGAAATTTTTACCAGGTATGTAAAACTAGATACTTCTAGCAGTGAATATCGAAGAGCATTTTTTAATTCTTTTCTTTTGTAGAACAGTGGTTCTTACCTGTAGCAGTCTTATTAGAATCACATGGAAAACTTAAAAAATTTCAGTGCTCAGATTATTTCCCAGACCAGTTAAATGAATTTCTGGAAGGACTCAGATACTGATTTTTTTTTTTAAAGCTACCCAAGTGATTCCAATGTGGAACCTAGATGAAAAGCTGCTACATTAGAATTTTGTCCCATCCAGCCTTATTTTAGCTGGTGGATATATTGATTGATAGGAAGAAATGGATTTCTGAGTGACCAAGTTATTACCATGATAAAGTAGTAATTAAGGTAGAGCAATATCAAAGAAACATAGTGATGATTAATTCAGCTAATAATACATAATATTTCAAGTATTCTCTGTTGTGTTCTGTCAGGGCTCAGATTCTTCATCTGAAAGACCCTGTGCTACTGTATCATCCAGAAGTACAGTTTCTTTTACAGCACTGGGAAGAACCAGCTTGAATTCTTTTAACAAAAGCCTGAACCAGCAATCTGACCCTAATTTGGCTCATGCTGTAGTTCAGAGTTTTGCTACAGAAACTATTGAAGGTATGTATAGCTAAGAAAAAGTTAAATAAAACCCAGTATTTTTTTCATTTTTTTTTACGTTTCGTTGGAAATTGTGCATAGCACCTGTTGGTTTGTCTACATGTGTGTCTTCACTGTTTTGGGTACTCTTCATATATTTTTTTAAATAACAGAAAATATAGTTTCCATTTTTTGTTGTTTTGGTTTGGTTTGATTTTTGAGATAGGCCACTCTACATAGTTCAGGCTGGCCTTAAACTCACTACGTAGCACAGGCTGGCCCCAAGCTTGCAGCAATCCTTCCTCAACCTCCTGCGAACTGGCCTTACAGGCATGTGCCACCATGCCTGCCTCTTCAGTTTACATTTTTATAATACTAAACTCTGTAAGATAAAAGTCAAGAGTTGCCTCTTGGCTGTCAACTTTCCTACCTTTATAGTTCTGTCCTTCTAGAACTTTTTCACTCCTTATAGTTAGGTCCTTGTAGAACTTTTTTTTATTTCTAGAATTTTTTTCCTTTAGAACTTTTTGTACAAAGTTTCTATATATATCATATATGTGTATACTTGTAAGCACATTTTCTGTTTGTTATTAAAATCAAACTATGAGACTACCTATAATTAAATTTTATAATATATGATTGATTTTTTAAAATTTCTTAATGCAGGATCTGAACAATCTTTTCAACAACTTCTGCCAGAATTTTCTTCACAGGAGGTGAGCCAGCACACTGATCTGCCAAGTATTTTTAACATTGAAGCAAGAGATTCTTTTCAAGACATGAAAAATGAGAACTATCCGTCAGATCAACAGACTGAAATACTACAAAATAAGAAAAGTTCAGCCTGTAGTTCATCTGATGAGACTAATACATTTGATCAGTTACGTATACAGCATAGCACTCCATGTGGTTCTACCTCTAGTGAGTGCTCCATAAAACACCAATTACGGGTAGAAAGCAAAGAAGAAAGGTTGAGCTTTGAAGACCTGTCGAAAAGAGAGGCTGTTAAAATTGTACAAAGTCAAGGACTCTCTGAAGATGATGAAAATGAGAGCCATCGGATGTTAGCTATATATCCACATGTAGAAGAAACTGACTCTCAATTATGTGTAGGAACAGTAAAGATGGGAACTTCAGATCAGACACCACAGTCATTAAGTACCCAAAATGAAAAATATTTTGAGACTTCAGCTGAAGCTCCAGGAGTCATAAAAAAGCTACCTCAGCCAACACTGCCTGAGCCCTTTCTAAGTTCTGGATCATTTTCATTACAGAGCTCTATTCCATTCTGGGTAAGTGAGATCTATGTTATGTAAATAACATTTTAAGTTCCTTTTTAGGAGAAAGTTTTGAAACAAAATGTAAGAAACAACAAAGTTGCTGAATATTCTCAAAATAAAATGAGAAAACTCCAAATTTTGAAAACTGTCCTCTAAGAATTATAAAAAAATCTTCCTTCCCTATCCAATACTCCTTTTCTACCTTCCCTAAGGAATGGTTAATCAGCCTGTGCTTTAGCACTTTTCAGTGTTAAACCTCATTGCACTGAATCCATTATTGGAATAACTGTTATACTGGACATGGTTTTCATTTTTTCACATGTGCAGCTCATCCTTCCAGTTAAGACAATGGAGATTTATAGGCCATAGATGTGTTTCTTTGGTTGTTTACATTGCTTCTCTGTTTTTAAATTCTTGTTCAATATGTGAAGCTGCTTCCTTAACAAAAAATCTTTGTTGTGAAACATTTAAAATCTGTCAAGAGTGGTCCACATTTGTTCCCAGTAGTCACTGCACCCTTTAGATAGAATGTCATGCAGTTCTATATACCCCAGCCAACCTACCTAGCCATATGAGTGTTCAGATTTATGATCCTTGCAATATTTTAAGACAGCATAATATTTTACTACACTGCCAAATCTTCTCTGTTTCTCCTAGTGATGAGAGGTACCTAAAGGGGAATCCAGTCTGTTGATGTTCTAAAACTTATATTATTTTTTCCACTTACGTACATTTGCACCAAATACACATAATGTACAAAATGCACATTTATGTATTTTTTTCACATTTTGGATGCTTTAAGGTTTTTTTTTTAAATGTTTTCTTTTCAATTATACTGCACAGGAGACAGAATCTGGCCATGGCATAATGGAAGAACCAGAACTTACTTTGGTAAGCACCAGTGATATCAGTATTGATGAAACAGATTTTGCAAACTTAACCCTTGAAGAAAAGAAAGAGAATGAGGCAAAAAGCTGTTTTCAGGTAAATTTTATAGCATTCATTAATACAGCTATAATACAGATCATACAGGAACCTGTAACTAAAGATTAGGGGAACAGAAAAGGATACGAATCCTCTCTTCACAGTATGGCATCTTACCTCACCTTAGGATTATCTGCACATTTCCTTCCCTCTATTACATGTAAATGCAATAAGCTGCATCCTTACAGTAGAAATTGACAGTGAATAGGAAAAGTTCTCAAAGTCTAAATGTACTGGTTATACCATGTAATATGTAGTTCTAGTATCTGTGAAGGTATGGCTGTTAAGACTCAAGTAGAATTCATTCCTCACCTATCCCATGACAAATACTTAGTCCTAAGACCAGGCAGCAAAAATAGAAAACTCTTCTCACTTTTGACATTTATTTTGAACTTTTCAGTCAAAAGTTAACAAAAATTCCCTGGCTACTACGAAGGGTCTAATCAATCACCTACCTGGTAATTTCAACTCTTGGGTCATCATTGGAGGGATATGCTCTTAGTTTTCATTTAGTTGGAACTGTAGGTTAGCAGGTGCCTTTTCACTCACACACACACACACACACACACACACACACAGCTGTTTTTTTCTTTTCACTGTTAAACACTTGAACTCAGGGCCTTCACACAGAGCTCCATCTTCAGCTTTAGTTTTTGAGACAGGGTCTTGCTAAATTGCTCAGAAGGGACGTAAATGTGCAGTCCTCCTTCCCCATTTTCTCAATTGCTGAGATTACAGGTGTGTACCACACCCCCCAGCTTCATACCTACCTTTTAGTGTGGTGGAACAGATTTTTGTTATCACACAGGTAGTGTTCTGATGCCAAGGAATGGAACTTCTACCTAAAAAGTAACTACAGAACCACAAGTGAAATTTCTTAAAGGGTAGGCAGTAGAAAAGAGGTTATGTACTTCTCATATGGATTGAAATGCTGAGATCAAATATAGGTAGGCCAATCTGTGGCTATAGTTTCTAGGTGCTTCTCACCAGATAAAGCCATGTCTTTATTCAAGCTATTAAGACAGAAGCGTAATGTGCAAGGAGAATGAGAACTAAGAAGGTAGGCATAAATTCATGTTTCTTCTACCAGGTGACCCAACCACCACTCTCCCGCTCATTAAGAGCGTGCTCAGAGGGGGCCGAGGATTTAGCTCAGTGGTTCTGCCGCCTGCTTTGCAAGCGGAAGGATCCGAGTTCGATCCCCGGTACCAGAAAAAAAAGAGCATGCTCAGAATGTTGTTAGTACATATGCAGATATAGTGGTACCTTGGTTTGTGAACTTATGATTTTAGGGAAGATGGCTGCATTTGTTTTTGTGGGGAAGATTGCATAGTTGTATTTGTCACCCTATGCAGAGTTTGCAAACTGAAGCAAAACTTTGTTGAATGCTTTTGTGAACCAATTTGTTTGCAAACAAGTGTTCATGAGCGGAGACATGACATACTATATTACTGTATTGGCAAAACAAATAAACCTATCTTGGTTAGTGGCTGTATTTGGGGGCAGTGAAGGGCTAATGCAAACCAAAAGGCACTTCACATAAAAGAGCCTTTTTGGAAAGTTCATTTTCCCAGTGAACACTAGACTTTGAACTACTTACTCTAAGTGGTATACTAAACTCATTTTTTATTTTCTTGCAATTAGCTGAGTGAATTTCTGCCCATTGTGTCAAAAACAGAAACTTCAGTTCATCCACTTGTATCAGAACTTTCTGTGGAAAATTCAACAGGATCTACAGGTATGTCCTAACAGCCTGAATTGTAAAGAAATTGCATATACCTGCAGTTGGCATAAAGTTAAATGTGAAGATATATCTAACAGAACAGTTCCCAAAATTTACAGCCATACCAGAAAGCTTACAAGAAGCATTTGTTAAAAGAAAAAAATCATTTATGGAGAGATCCTACCAGAGGCAGAAAGAAATAAGGAGTAAAACTCGAGTTTCTGAACATTCCCAATTCAAAACAGTTAAGAAGCCATCTACAGGTATGGTTTAAATATTAATCTTCAACTTCCTGAAATGTTTTAATGGCCTGTGTGATTCTTCTGGTACTAAAGGATCAAACCTAGGGTCTTGTTCATACTAGCTCTGAGCTATATATACCCCCAGCCTCTTCACTTTATTCATAAACCACTCTATAGCTGAGCAGTAATCCATTATAGATACTCCATGTTTATCTAGTCATCTGTTAGGTATACACATTGCTTCCAGGACTTACTTAGCTACAAACAAAGGTATGCATGTATCACTGCAGTATGTCTTAAGCTCTTTGGGGGAAGCTACCCAGAAGAGGGGACACATGGGTCACATGAAGTTTTTATTTCACTTCAAAAAATCTCCATACTGATTTCCATAATGGTTGTAGTAGTTTGCATTCCCCACAATGAAGGAGGGTTTCCTTTTCACCACACCCATGCCAGCATTCGACTTAATATCATTCTTCCCAAAATAAAGATGTGGTTTCTCTTGTCCATTTTTGACTGGCTCTTTTGCTGGCAGAACTTTCTTCCCAATAAATGACAAATCTTTAGAGAAATGGATGCACCTGGAAAATGGTGACATAAACCAGACACACAAGCTTAATTATTGTATGGTATCTCACTTGAGTAAAAGAGGATGGATCTCTGAATAAGGAAGTGTGGGCACAATGAAGGGTAATGAGGGCAAGGGAAAATAAGATATGCCAATTTAAACAAGAATAAAGACTGGGATGGGGAGTAGAGGGAGGTCATTAAAAGAAATAAGCCGACAGGTCCATGGATTTAGCTCAGTGCCTCAGCACCTGCCCCTCAAGCACAAGGTCCTGAGTTTGATCCCTATGTGACCACTCCCAGGATAAAAATCAAAAGAAATCCCTTGCTTTTTTCAGGTTCCTCTATGAGTAGTCTGAAAGGTGTGAGTAAAGTTAGAGTGTCCCTTCCTGAAGAAAGAAGAATGGCACAAGCCCTCATGCATAAAAGGGCTCTAAGGTACCTTTTTTGTTTGTTGTGTTCCGGCGATTTTACTCTTCTTTTCTGCAGTATTTACACTTACACTTAATATTTTATAGGTTATACAATCAGTTATCTGAAGTAAAACAACAAAAGGAAGAGAAAGCAAAGCAAGAAACTTATGCCCAAAACAGAGCAAGGGCAGAAGAATTTCATAAGGTGAAAGCCTTCCCATCCCAACCCCTCTCAGCCCGATTTTTAGTATACCATAATTGAAACTGATAGTAATTTTATTCCCTTACAGAAAACACTAGAGAAACTTCGAGCCAAAAATATGTACTGACTTACTACATACAACACTTGTAAAAAGGCTTTTATAAAAAGGCTTTTAAATAAATATGACATTGTGCAAAAATTAAATAAATTTATTTAAGGAATTTCACATGTGATGCCTTCAGTACTCATCAAGGTCACTTTAGTGAAGTTCTTTGTCTTCAAAATAGCCCTGAAAAGGAGAAAAGACATTGGTTAAACTTTGAAGCATTTACCTTTTCCCATCACCAGTGAGTTTATGACTAGCTCAATATTGTATCTCCTCAGGAAAACACAGCACTATTGAGTGACTATGGCAAACTGTGGAGAACTTCATTCTCTGGTCATCGCGTTAAGAGCTCTTGGTTTCACATCCCCACAAGCCCTCTTTGAAATGACCTGTACAGTAGTTTTCCTCATGTGTACATACCTTTTTCAAAGAAATGATGCTTAATCCAGTCAGCCTATCTGCCCTGCATAAGGATATAAAAGATAATCATTGCAGTCATCAGTGAGTTCCTGAAGCTAGCCTACTTCACTTAAGTCCTCTGCTTGTAAAATGATTAGCTACTAAGGGTAACAGTAGTTTAGCTAGGGAGAGCAAGCCTCCAAAGCTAAGCATGCCTTGTGGCAAGAATTTTAAACGTGGCTATTGTGCACACTGGACAATGTTCACCTAAGCAATGTAATGTTCCCAACAGGTTGATTGCTAGCAACGTAGCAGATAGAAAACCTAGTGGGAAATTCTTTTACGGTCATGTCCACAGCAAATGAGAAACTTCATTCTAAAAGCCTTGGTAATGACCATTGTAATATCCCAATAGTTTATGGGTAATATAATAGAATTACTTGCCGAAATTCTCTTATCTCCACTGGGAATTATGGACAGTGACAACTTCAAAACTCCTATTCAAGGAAAAAATTCTTATTTACTATATAATAACTTTATCCAGAAACTAAGGTTCCTTGCATTAAGTGCACCACACCCAATGTCCAAACTACTATGAAAATTGCAGCTGTAAAAAATTTTTCACTATTATGTTACTCTTTAATCCAGTTATCATGTTCAAATCATATCTGAATTTAGAAAATGTGAAATGAACCTTGAGTTTACATTCTGAAACAGTGTACTTAATGTGGATGTTCAGAGGCGCTAGTTTCATTCAGCCCATTCAGAGCAGTTGAACATTTTGCCAATCATCATAACATCATACACTCATAGTGACAGTAAAATTATTTTTCTTACAAACTTTGGTTGTAACAAAAAGTAGCTTTTGCCTTTGAAGTAAAAAGTTAAAATCTTACCTGGGGTCTTATATCCAAATTCCTTCCAGCACTTCAGGAGCCTAGAATTTGAATTTTACATAGTATTGGTGTTGTGGCACATGATCTAGATTCTCTATTATTCCTTAATCATTCATTTCTAATGTTGAAAGTCAACATTTTTCATTATTCTTGAGCAAAATGTTACAGGTCTCATTGTCACCACTGTAATATGTTTACTGTGATGGAAGCATGACCTGTGTCTCAATTTTAGCCACACTGACCAATTTTGGACACCAATCAGTAGTGCCCATTCTCATCTAGAATGAGGCTTTGTGAAAGCTCCTCCAGAGCTTATTCATACAGTATGTGCAAAGCTTCTGCATCTGCATGGAATCTATTATGCTGCCAATAGGGGTAAACACAAGTAAGAGAAACAGAACACCTTACCACTTAGAGGGTAGATGGATCTGCCTTGCTCACACCCTAAATTAAAAAAAAAAAAATTACACAGAAGACTATGTACCAAAGTGAATATTAAAAAACCATAAAATACTGTATCAATAGAAATACCAGGTTTAACATGCACAAAGCCAAGAAAACCAACGATGCCAGATACTGAATTTCTATCGCACTGTCTTTTGAACACACCAGCAGGAATAAACTGTTGAGTGCAGATACCATACAGTGCAGTCATTACTGAGGTATATAAAGCCCCTCTACTCTACTTCCAATTAACATTATTAATATTCTAATGAGGTCACTACATATAAGAACTATAATCCTTATCTGTCAAATCATAAAGGATTAACTCAGTTGTAAAGGGTTTGCCTAAGCACGCATAAGGCCCTGGGTTCAGTTCCCAATAATGCAAGAAGAAAGATCACTGTTGCTCTGCCAAGCAGTCCCAAGTATATATGCTATATATTTGGATAAACCATGTAGAAATGCCAGTTGGATAAATGACAGTGCAAAAAGTCTCTCATTTTTTCATTTTATAAACACATGTATCACTTTTTGAAAAGATCTTAATTCTGTTTTATTCTCAAAGTGTATAAAAGAAATGGATTATACTCAATTTTTATAAGTCCTTGATAAATTAGAAATATTTCACTTACTTCTCTAAACATGCACGTGAATTCATATTCATTTCCTAACGAGAAATTACAAAATAAAAAATTTAGAAGGACACTAAGTATTTCCAGTAAATACGTACAAGTTTTTGTTTATTGTGCAGACTTAATAGCTATCTCCAGCTGTCAGAATTAAGTTTTAGTTCATGTTTGTATCATTCAGCAGTTGAACAGTTAAATTCATCATCTGAACTGGAACTGTGCCCCCAGAATACAATATTAAACTGTCACCAATTAAAACTTACCTAAGCTATTCAGAGTAGTATAGATCTCTAGGATGTGCAAATACCTAAAGTTAAAAGAAAAATTATTAGGTCTTTCATACTTTTTGCTGTCTTGTAGTGCCTTATCACAGGCCTAAGAAATAGACCTGTGAGCAAAGCAAAACCACAGTGTTACTCTATGAGGCGTTTCCAACGATGTGCGGCCACAGGAGAAGCCACATCGGGATAGACCTCAAGATACTCAATAGCAGTGATAAGCAGGAATTGAGATGTGCTCTGGCAAAATACAAAAATACTAAATCCTTGGCCCTATAATGATTTTTAACAAGCTTGTTTAGCAGCTAGAATATAAACTGATAAATAAAAATATGCAAGTATCATCAAGTGGCTTTGAGTTTTTTGTTTGAGACTGTTTCACTATCTAGTCCAGGCTGAGCTTCAACTTCTAATCCTCCTGCCTCGGCCTCCTGAGTACAGGGACTATTTACTGTATGCCACCAGCTAAGCAGCTACTTTAGATGAACCAAGGGAAAAAAATTTAAGTATCAATTAGTCTGAATCATGACCTTCAATACTGACTGCTGATGTTTTGCCTACTCAGCCTATTTTAAGTGAATTACATTTCAAGAATGTAATTGACACCAGTGTGTAAAATGCTTGAATCTAAGCTTAGTTTTTGGCATTCAATGTCCTAACTGGAATTAAAGAAAGGCAACGATCTTTATTAAAACCTGCAGAAATTTTAATCTGATGTTACTTACATTTAAAAATGATCCAAACACAGTAAGACAGTCTTCAACTCCAGCCCCATGTTCAAGACAGAAGCCTTTAAGTAAACAAAAAAGCTATCTTTGTGTGCCACAACATAAATACTGGAATACCAAATCTATAAAGCTGAGATTCTATTCACATTCTGAGCTTTATAAATTAACTTTAGTCTCAGAACAAAACCTTCCATCGCTTTAATCTGTATGTGTTGTCATTTTGTTTTTGCTTTGTTTTTGGAGGCAGTCTCGCTATACAGTACAGGCTTCATTCCTCTTGCCTCAGCCTCAGGAATCCCATTATTACAGGGTTATATATACCACTGTGCCCGGCAGTAATATTCCTTCTTATATGTATCAAAACTCATACTCAACAATGAGTTCTGGGTTGCAAAAGAGGATTTATTTTTTGCACCTGTCCATGAAGTCTTAGTCCACAAGTTAAGACAAAAACATACACAAGTGCCACTGTACAATGCAATGCATACTAAATAGCAGTAAGCTATACAATAGTGATCCTAAGGAATATCACAGATGAAATAGTAAAACTATACCAGGTATATTAGGGAAAGTTATTTTTGAGCTCCTGGGGATTAAACCAAGGGCCTCATGCTGCTGAGCTACATCCCAGAGAAATGACTAAAATTTGACAGTAATCTCTTTTTGTCTGAATAAAGTTGGGATTAAAAGCAGGGTGTTCCAAAGAATCTTAACGAAACTGGTTGGATTCCAGTGACTAACATTTCCTTTCAGTGTTCCATTCACACTTGTAACTTTTCACTGAAGTGGAAAGAACTGATAAATACAGCAGGACTTGGGCCAGGGATTTAGCTCAGTGGTTATGCCACCAACCTTACAAGTACAAGGACCCAAGTTAGATCCCTGGTACCAAAAAAACCCAAAAAAACCAAAAACAGCAGGACTTATATACAGGAACTGGTATCTCAGCTTTTCCCTGATGTTTGAAAATTCAAAATTCTTTTTGTATTTTAGTTTCTTCTACAAGCTTGTTCAGGTTATTATTTTTCTCCTTAGTTCTTGGTATAAGAATTTCTTCAACAGGTATCTCCACATTAATCATCTTTAGTTCTTCCTATCAAAAAAATCACCTTCTATATATTGTTTACCTTCTGACATTCACATGTCTGTCTCCTTTTCAGGCCCTTCTGTCCTCTGTCCAGTATTTCTGGCCTTAGGAACTCCCTTTATAGACAAAGCAGCTTCTTTATTGTTCTCTCGTTGTAAATACATATTCATCTTGTTTGGAAATTCAGAACTTATTATGAAACAACTCTCTTCCTGCATAAAAAACAATACATTAAGAAATAATTATACATGGCCAACTGCTAAGTTACCTGAAACTAAAAATCTAAACTAACATTTGCCTATTTACAGTCTAATTAGCGACACCATATATTACAATGCTCTTTCCCTAAGGGTTACAGCACTTGCCTAGAATTTACAAGAACCTGTGTTGGATAGGATCCCCAGAGCACAGGAGAAACAAATGAAATGAATTGAATGAACGAAATGAAAAATGAATGGAATGAATTTTGTCATCATCATGTATCCAAAACTTAGTATTTCTATTCATTTCCTGTCTTAAAAGGCGAGACTTTTTAATTCAGTTTTTCAAATTTTAAATGGAAAGCCTGGTGTGATGGTGTATTCTGAGGCAAGAGAATCAGGTTTTAGGCTAGCCTGGGCTACAAGAAGGTTAGACAAAAAACTACCAGATACAATTCTACCAATGCCTGCTTTCCTCAAATGATAGGATAAAATTAAGTCACTTACTACCAATTTGATATCACATTCACCACGTTCAAGATGTGTCTCATCTTCTGCTCTGTAACATTAAAATGTGTCATAAATTACAGAATGTTTTGACACAGTAAGACACTGCTCTACATGCCTGAAAGAGCATTTTAGCCAAGGTAAAAACAGTATATCCTACTTAACATTGAAAGGGGATATCTTGGTTTGACCAATCAGCTCAAATGTAGTAAATCTAACTGGCCCATTTATTGTGTGTACTGTGTATTAATATTTAAAAAAAAAAAAAAAAAAAAAAAAACTGGAGTCAAGCATAGTGGCATACACCACTTGGGAGGCTGAGGCAGAATTGCTACAAGTTCGAGGCCAGTCTGGACTACCTAGTAGCAAGACCGTCTCAAAAAACCAAAAGAAAAAAAAAACTGATGACAAAATAAGACTAAAAGTTTAAATAAAGTCTATGTGCCCAAAACTATTTTAAAAGGTTCAACTTACTCTGACTCTTCAATAGGAGAAATGGAGCCATCATCATCCAAGTATTTGTATCTCCGACTATCAAGACCTTCTTTTTCTAAATCTTCACCAACATTCATTTGTTTCAATGATTCCTTAAGGTGGTGTTCATACTTCAGTTTTTCAATGTAGTTAAAAAACCCTCTTGCAACAGCTTGCTGTTATGTTAAAAAAAAACCAACATTTTGTCTTGGCCTTTCAAAATAAACTCCTCTGCATTTCTGGACCAAACAAATCAATGATTATCACTTTACACTTTAACAAGTACTCTCAAAATTATGCCTGCAAAGTACCACATGTTAACTGTACATTCAACATCCAATTCTCAAATATTCCAAAAATCTGTTAGCATTAAATATCAGAAAATAACAGCTAGGCTTCAGGAATGTTGACCGAACAGCAAAGACATGAGTTTAATATGGCTTACAGCAAAGTAAGTGGAAGTCATGTTTTAGGGTTGAGATCAAGGAATACACAGAGGTAGACTTGAACAATGCTTTCATATATTCACTTGCCAGTGAAGAATTCACCCAGAAACCCAAATGAAGTCCAAGAGGAAGAATGGAGTCAACTTTTAAGTACAGAATATCAAAACTGCACTGTTTCTTTTGTCTTAAGACAATTCAAAATGAGCCAAAACAATTCAGACATTTTAGCTATGTGTATCTGTATATATAAACCACTGACTCACCTCAAAACTTAAAATTTTCCTCCAAGGTAATGGTTTCCTTCCATCTTCAGAATGTAAAAATGGAAATGTAGGTCCTTTGTCTTTAATTTGTTTTTTATCTATTTGTGACCTTCTAGTGTTTCTCCTTCCTTTTGGTCTTCCCCTTGGTGTTAATTTTGGCTTGTATTTTCTCTTTTTACGTTTCTTCTTTTTCTTGAATCTTTCAAAAATAGCTTTTAAAGTCAATGGTCTTGGCTCTATAGATGAGTCACTTGATGAATCTGTTTGCACACTTTCAGGTATATGAACAAATTTCCTACTGGGGTTTCTTTGAGTCCGTTTAGGTAAGGAAGGTACACACTGTGTTTTAAATAAGCTGCTACCAGATGAAGAGCTATCACTAGAAAATAAAATTTTATCATATTACTAAGTGCTTAGTAGTAATGTGCAACCCCAACTGCATATTTAAGACCAACTGAGGAGAACATGCTCAGAATAAAAAATTATTAGAATGGGCTCAGTACCAGACAGCCATTGAATCCTGACCATGGTATCTAAAATGGTCACATTTGTCAAAAAATGAAATTTCATTTCCCAAGAGATTTAAACTGCCCAAAAGTTGTCTGGCTCACTTTTACAACTTCCTCTATCTAAACAGCCTATTAAAAAAAAAAAGACATTTGTCAGTATAATACCAGGAAAGTGTAGTTTCCCTAAGCTATGTTCCTGTATAATATATTCAGATTGTGAAGAATGTACTTTCAATAATTCAATAAATATGTAACTGGATAAGCTTGGAAGGTGTCAGCCAGTTTCTTTCCCCAATCTAATAATTATCTTTAATACCAATTACGTGATTTATAATTTCCAACTCTTAACACACAGTAACTATTTTTACTAAATCCAGTTTCCTGTAAGTCCATTTACCTTTGGTTTTCAATTTCCACAGCTGTATCAGATGTTGTATAATTAACAGCATCCATGCCTGATTTATCCATCACTTAAGTTTCTGAAATTACAAAACTCAGTATAGGTAATATAGCTTCCATGAACAAATGCAAACATACATATACAGCCAGTATCTACTAAAAAGTTCTTGGACCATGCCACGGCAAAATCATTTACTAGGCTTTTAAGATCTAGGGATCTTAAAAATCAAATCAAAATTTCTTTAAACCTCTAGAATTTGCATTCACACATTTCTAATTTTGGCTCTCAAAACCTACCCAATGTAGCAAGATCCTTGAAAAGTACTTAATTTCAACAATAAAAGTTTGAGTACAAAATAGTTTATTGGCCACTATTACTAGCCAAAACAGGCATTTCCCAAAATCAAAGAGGGACTCATAGGAAAAACTTGTGCCAAGAAAACCAGAAGGCAAACTGCCTGTCAGAAAAATAATCTTTCAGACTGCATCTCCATCCAATTCTTGGTCTGAACTTAAGACTTACTGCCTCCTTCAGTGTTCCTTCCGGGGTTTCATGTAACTGCATCTCTTTGTCATATTACCTGTCATTATTGGTGGAAACTTAGTAGTTCAGAATTTTGGCATGCATACTGACACTACTTTTGTCTCCATCTTCTTGGTAGAGTATACAGCAGGCAAGAAGACAACAAAAATTTTAGGTTAAAGGTGACTATTAGCCAGGTCCAGTGGTGACATCTGTTATCCCAGCATTCTGGGAGTCTGAGGCAAAAGGATCAAAAAAAAGTTCTAGCCCAGCCAGGGTAAATTAGTGACTTAGCCAGACTCTCTCAAAATTTTTAATAAGGGCTGGAAACAACTCAGTGTAAAAGCCCTGGGTTCAATCCCCACTACTCCAAAATTTAAAAAATAAAAATTACTTTCATTATTTCAACTCTCATGATGTTTCTATTCCTTAAGTGTACCTGAAAACAAGTCATTACAAACCCTAGAATGACAAACTTACAAAATACTTCAAATACAGGAATATGTAAAGCTCACTAAAATCTCAGATTTGTTAAATGTTAACTTCATAGTGTTTTGCTCTCTTAAGTGTAAAGCCCTAAGTGTCATTACATATAAACTGGTCTAAAGTGAAATCCACACCTTGGGCAAGTCAGCTAGATCTCTTGAAGGGACAGGACATGATGGTGCATGCCTGTAATCCCGGCACCCTGGGACGCTGAGGCAGTAAGATTAACTTTGAGCCCTCTTTGGGCGACTGAGACTGTTTCAAAATTTAAAATGGCTGGAGAGGTAGCTCAGTGCAAAGGCCTTGGATTCCATACCCAGTACTACAAAAAATAAATAAGTAAATGGGGATGTAGCTCAGTGGTACAACACTTGCCTAACATGGGCAAGGCCTGAGCTGATCCCCAGTGCGGCGCAAACAAAACTGATATCCAAAAAACACAATAGTACACGCGTAAATTTTTAAAATGACCAAAATACATGTGGCTCAAAAATCCCTCTTTCGATGCCAGCCCGGTGGCGCACGCCTGTAGTCCCAGCATTCAGGAGTTCGAGGCCGGCCTGGACTACATGACGAGACTCTTCACAATAAAAACGAACAAACAAACTCAGAACGTGTTTAGAAGCCCTCCGACTTGGTCGTCGCTTCCCATCCTGGGATTCTGAGATTTAAAGCGGACATGGCCTGTCTCGAGCTAACGCAGACCACTTTGATCTGCCGGAAGCGGAGGTTCCTCAAGTGAGAATATGACGCCAACACCGGACCCCTCACACATGGGCCGCATTACACCATCACAAGTCACTCGTCCAGACTTACGTTTTATCACCCACATCGCTGACAGCACCGGCCGCTCTGCACTTCAATCGCCTGACCCTCGAGCAGGGCCAGAGCAGCCCACAGTCGGGGCTGCCTTCGGCGCACTCGAGCCAGGCACACAGGCCCGCATGACCATGGCCTCTGCCTGCCACTGACTTCCTGCCGAAGCCCAGAGATCTGCCCCCTTCGTCCCACTACCCGTCCCACTCCAGTCCACAACAGCCCCAACACCACCACCTACCTCTCCCAACAGCACCGCAGAAAAGAACGCGCCAGCCTCGCGACCCCGCTAATAGTGGGACAGGAATCTCGCGAGACAACTTCGCCCCGGAGAGAAAACGGGCAAGGGGAGGAGACGCGAGGCGCTAGCGCCTTTAGATCACCGCGGGGGGAGGGGCGAGGCGGTGGGCGGGGCCTAAACTGCTCTACTGGAGGCCGAGAAGTTGACTCAGGGCTGTTTAGGATTGCGGCCTGAGCGCTTCACTTACTGGTCTGGTAAGTGTAACAGTCAAGAACATTTCGGCAAATAAAAATAAATGTTGGGCCAGGTGTGGTAGCGCACGTCTATATAATCTCAGCACTCTGGAGGCTGAGGTAGGGTGATCGCAAATTTGAGCCCAGCCTGAGCAACTTAGACCCTCCCTGTCTTAAGCTCCTTGGGAAGGGCTTGGGTTCAGTCCCCAGTATCGCTAAAAAGAAAGAAAAAAGTGGGGTCAAGTGAACGGAGTTAATGAGAACAGATGATTTTTTTTTCTACGGGTTTCGCGTTTTGCTAAACTGAGGTGTGGTCCTGCCGTGTCTGTCTTTGCCGTCATACATGTCGTCTGTGTTAAAATACTGGGAAAGGCTCGAACATGATCATGATTTCAAAAGTATATAACCTAGGTACTGGAGCCCAGAACTGTCACCGTATGTGTCTGTCTCACTGGATAGCCAGGTTCCTTGTATCCCAAAGAATTGAGCAGAACACACAGAAGCAGTAACAGAGGCCAAGATTTATTAAAGGAAAGTGTATTTTATACACCGGGAGCGAGCCAGTGAGAGAGCTCAAGAGCGAGTTTGACTCAGAGCAGCCCCATCCGTTGGAGGTTTGAGGTTAAAGTACACTTGGAAGAGTTTCGAGTAGAGTTCAGAGGTAGCACTAGAAAGTACACCCTGAAGAACTGCAGCGAGTTCTACCTTTGGTTCCATTTTGTTTTTCTAGCATTTGGGCAGGGATGGGGGTGGTAACTCATTGGACTCCGTCCAATTAATTAAGTCTCCACCCTCACGTGGGGAGGGGGAGATTTTTGAGCCCTCTGGAAGTCAAAACCGCTGTGCTAATGATATAATGACCTTTGGGTTACTCTAAAGCTATTAGAGTGGGTGCTCCTGGGGCCCCTGTCAGAGGTCAAGAAACTGTGATAAGGAGAGGATTTTGAGGGAATGTGGTGAAAGCAAGGTGATGCCCTGCTGGCCTCTGAGAGCCAGAAGACATCCTGTCTGTTGTGAGCCTGAAATCGGTCTCCCAGTCTTCTGCCTCAAATTGCACACTCATATCCCCTCCCCTGCTCAGTCTGATAGCTCAGTTTTATGCTCTTAGTTAAGGGTCTGCCTCCCAGGAGTTGGTTAACCTGTCACCGAAGATACCAGCACGGGATTTTTAACTCCCTAGTTTCCTCTCTTCCTAAATTCTCCCTGCAGTTACCGAGTTAAGGAGGAAACAGCTTAATCTAGTTTAATTTGATTGGCTTTTCCCCTAGGAGGAGTTAAAAAATAAAAAAGAATAAACTGGTTTGATTTTTTTCCATTTTCAGAACTCTTGTATCATATGATACACCAGTAAAGCCGGCTATTCCTAGTTAATGTCATTTTTAGGATTGGATAGACCTTCAAAGTAGTATGTATGGTCTCTTCACTCCAAATAGTGAACAATTCCAGCTATAAAAAATCTCATCCTAGGGCTCAGGGATTTAGCTCAGTGGTTCCGCTGCCTGCCTCACAAGCACAAGGTCCCGAGTTCAATCCCCAGTACCAAAAAAAAAAAAATCTGATCCTGTAGGCAATGTCCACTGCTTTCCATCCACAGTCTATGCAACTACTATAAGCTCCAGGAAAGGTATCTGTGTGTGTCTCATTCCCTGCCTCATTGGGAACAGGCCCCATTATGTAATTTGTAAGGCTTGGGGCAAAATGGAAATGCAGGGCTCTTTGTTCAAAAAAAAGAGGGAAAAGTACCATTAAAGGTACTAAAATGTAAGCTCTTTCTTTTGTGGTACTGCTCTTGTCCAGATATTTTTTTTCTTTTTTGTGACACAGGGTCTCACTGTGTAGCCCAGGCTGGCCTCAAATTTGCAATCCTCCTCCTCCAGCTTCCCGAGTGATGGGATTACAGGCATGTGCCACCACTCTGGGCTCTGTCCTGATACTGTTACATTAGCAGTATCATTCTAAGTACAGAAAAATTAAAACTATTAGTGTAAATGTTACCATTTTTCTTTACATTGTGCAATGCTAGTTTTAAATACAAACGTGAACATTTAACTTGAATGCAGAATCACTGAAATTTCACAATTGTTATTTTATAGTTCATATAAGTATATGTACTTTGTTTTTGTTAAAATGCTTATTAGAAATACTGTACAAAGTTAACTAGCCTGTTTTTATTTTACTTCTTGGTATATGAACATTCTACCAACATTCTGTAGAATCCAGCAATTTTGAGTCTTGGTGGACTCCCATACATGGTGTGTCCACCAGAATTCGAGACTAACAGGGCTTTACAAACACTTGATGTGAATGGGGTGACAAAGCATGGTGGAGGACACACGTACTGCACCTCTCTCCTGTTCATGCTTCATTGTCCCATAGTAGTTCACTTAAAATACAAGTTCAGTCATAAAGTTCTTGGGGTTGGCGTTAGAATGAGACCCTGGGTTCAATCCCAGCACTAGAAAAAAAATTCATGTGAATATGGTGGCCTTGTGCGACTGACTGCACTAGCTGCCACCTATGAAACCAGCCCTGTAAATACTGTTTGCCTCCCTCTGGCTCAAGGCTGACCTCCTGAAGCCACTCTGACTTTATATGAAAATCTTTCTCCTATTACTTGAACTCCACACATCCCAGACATTTAAACATACTACTGCTGCACTGCTTTCTGTGCTGTTGGCCTTTCAGAAGCTCTGCATTTCTAAACCAGTTATTCAGGCTGCAGCCTCCTAGGTTGGATTTCCTTTCCGTGGGGGAGGGTGGGTACTGGGACCAAACTCAGGACCTCTTGCATTGGACTTTTGTTTTTTGGTAGGGAAATAAACTGAACTTTGTTTAGAGAGAGTACAGTATATAAAATTAGGATTAGATTTGAATTTAACTTGAGTCCTTACTCCTATTGTAAGCAGAAATATCTAAAGTGCTTTTATTATATCCTCATAAATATACTATTCATTGTGCAGATTTTGACATGTTCATAAATATATAAGTGCCTGTTTGTCTGATAAAGAATGTAATAAAATGTTAACATTTGGGAAATCTGGGTGAAGCATATACAGTAATTTTTTGTATATAATATTTGTCAATTTGAAATTATTGTAAAAGAAAAAGTTAAAATGTCTTTGTCCTCAGCAATTACAGATTACACAACTCAAAAATGTGTTTAAGATGCTGGAGATTTAGCTCAGGGGCACCGTGCCTGCCTTGCAAGAGCAAGGTCCTGAGTTCAATCCTTGGTACCGCAAAAAACAAAAACAAAAATGTGTTTAAGATAATTGAAGTATAATTAATATATTATTTGGAACCCATTATCTAGTTATTTATATTTAATTTAGGAGACCAGATTATGTATATTAAATAACTAAAGGACAATGAACACTAGTATTTAATGTGGCCTGTCCCCACTACTCTAGACTGAAGCAGGAAGACTGCTTTAGCCTAGGAGTTCCAGTCCAGCCTAGGCAACAGAGGGAGGTTCCATCTCTTAAGAAAAAATATATAAATGTTAAGTCCAAAGTGTACGCAATAGCATGTTTATGGAGGATATGTTGTTTGGAAGTATAAAAACTAGAAATATAGCTAAACATGGTGGCACATGCCTGTAATCCCAGGACTCCGGGAAGCTGAAGCAGAAAGATTGCAATTTCCGGCCCAGCTTGGGCAATTTAGCAAGACACTAAATAAAAATAAAGCCCAGTGTGATGGTACAGGTTTGTAATCCCAGCATGTGGGTGGCTGACTGGGGAAGGAGGTACACAAGTTCTAGCCCAGCACATACTACTTAGCAATCTAATAAGACTGCCTCAAAATTAAAAAAAAAAAAAAATTAAAACAGCAGGAGATGTAGCTCAGTCATCCTCCACCCAAAAAAGAAAAGAAATTCAATTTCTAAGAAAGCTACAAGCCAGGTGTGGTGGTAAACACCTTTTAGCCCAGCACTTGGGAGGCTGAGGCAGGAGGATCACTGTGAGTTTGAGGCCCGCCTGAACTACATAGTGAGATCCTATCTCAGAAAAACAACAAAAGAAACCCCCCCAAAATGACAACAAAACAAACTACAAAGCTGAAAAATTTGTTTTAAACAGTTTTCGGAACTATTTCAGCCAGGCATGGTGGTGCAAAACTGTAATCCCAGCCCTCTGGAGGCTGAGGCAGAAGGATCCTTGCAAGTTCAAGGCCAGTCTGCCCCATAGGCTGCATACCTATAAAGTGAGACCCTATCTCAAAACAAAACAAAATAAACAAAAAAAACAAAACTATTTTAAGTGACTCTGAGGGACCACCTTTCACTTGCTAGGCAAGCATGTTCAAACCAGAGACTCTTCAGATTAATAAAGTGTTCTATTAGCAATTGTGATGACAACTCTGGCAACGCTCCTAAAAACAGAAATGGCCTTGAGTTTCATCTGTATTCCTTGTTGTGATTGGCCTGGAGTGGGCTTCCCTGCCCACTTCTTTTTTCTTTTTACATCTGCCTTCATTTTATTTTATCTCATTCAACTTGCACACCTCATCCCTTGAACACCTGAGGTAAGACACTACTTTCTGTGTATGTTTACCATGAATTACACTTAGCACATATTTTTAAAATTCCAGATTATATATCAAGTTATAATTGGTTCAGTTATCAGAATAATTTTCACTTTAAAACTGCATACCAAGAAAGAATGTTTATTTGTAAGTGGAAGTAGACCTTTGAATTCCAGAAGATAATCATTTCCATAGGTTTCCATTTCCATTAGTTATTTAAGTTTCTTTCTGTAAAAGTTTAAGAAGCTTAATTTTTCAGCTTATATGTCAAATATAGAGAAGGGAACATAGGTTATCTATTCCAGAGATTTCTGTATATGTGTTGTTATATATGCATGCATATATATGTATATATAAAACACTATAGAATCCCATACTGTTTTCTGCAACCATTTTGATGCTTACTCATAATCCTTAGTAAATGCCTTTTTTTTTCCATTAACTTTATTGGTACATTTTAGGTATACAGTACAGTACATTCATCTTTGAGATCTTGTACCTTTACATGATGTATCTTGGTTTTTGGGTTTTTTTTCTTTAATTTTATTGGTACATTTTAGGTATACAATATAATTACATTCATCATTGGAAATTTGCACCTTTATATAATCTCTCTTGGTTCTTATTTTTTCCCCATTCCCCTGCCCTCCCTTCACCCCCTCCACCCTTCCCTATTTACAAAGACTTTGTTTCCATTTTTTTACTTTTCTCGTATTTTTTCTTTTCCCTTCAGTAAGTCCCTTTTATTTCAGGACCAACCATTAGAAAATTACAGTTTCAATCTAGATAGGTGCCCTCTTGGCTTGGTGTCTCCTCGTTTCAGTCTATTTTATTTTATTTTTTTAACTTATTTATTTATTTTTTTTCCCAGTTCCAGGGATCAAACTCAGGACCGTGCCCTTGCAAGGCAGGCGCGGTGACACTAAGCTAAATCCCTGACCCTCAGTCTATTTTAAATGTCAACCATTTAACAGTATTGGACTGGAAGTATAGCTTAGGGATAGAGTGTTTGCCAAGCATACATGAGACCCTGGATTGGATCCCTAGCACCATGAAAAGAAGAAAAGAACAGTATTAAAAGAGGTCTTTTGCCAGTTGCATACTTGGAATACTAAATGCTAAAGCTGGGGTTGCTTTTCTGTGAGGATAAAAAAATCTAATTGCCCTTTGCTCTCTTTATACAACTGAACTCTTAATGCTCACTTCCAGAACAGCAGCTGTTCATGCCTGATGTACTTTGAACTCTTGTGATAATTAACCAAGAATAGTTTTACTTGTGTAACCTCCCACCTAAAGAAGACAATGATGGCTTGTGCTGAGTTTTCTTTTCATGTGCCAAGTCTACAGGAGCTTGCTGAAGGTAAAAACAATATTAACTTTGGATTTTTAAGAACTATTCTGAAGAAAAAATTAAGATTCTAAAATATATATGTACCTTCTTGGCTTAAAATCCAGAAAATCTTTTCAAGAATTTGGTCCCTTTGTAATTGGTGAAAAGTAGGTTTTGCTATATTTTCACATACTGAATCTTAATTATATATATATTCATAACTCATTCAAGATGGGAAATTTCCCATTCAATTTAGTTTTTGTTCTTAGTAAATAAAAGATCTGGTATGGACTATCTGATAACTTCATATTTTCAGAGTCTCATTATAAAAGACTAAACTAAAAGGTGACACTACTATCAAAACTCTTATAAGAACTTTTTTCTTATAAATAAATGTTCAAATGAGAAGGAGAACAAGGAAGGGAGCAGGGGGAAAGGAAGAAAGGGGAAAAAAAGAATAGGAAAAAATGGAAACAAGGCTTCTGAAGTGGGGTGGGAGAGAGAGGAGGGGAATGGGGAAAAAAAGAAGCAAGATATATTACCTACAGGTACAAATTCGCTATGATGAATATTATCATTATGTATATCTTAAATGTATTAATAAATGTTTTGCTTCCAAAATAAATAAATAAGCAACAACCCAGCATTCTCCATTTTTTTTAATATATAAATTTAGGTTCAGAGTGTGACATAGAAAATTTGAAGGAAGATGTGATATGTGGTGGCCAATTTTTACCTAAAATTAATAGCCCTTTTCATGTCTTTATTAGTTATGCAGAAGGGGCTAAAAGATAACTTTGCTGAAGTCCAAGTCTCTGTAGTTGACTGTCCTGATTTGACTAAGGAACCATTTACCTTTCCTGTAAAAGGTAAGTCGTATTTTAAAAATATCCTTTTGGTTTTCAGTCATAATCTTTTTCTGAAGGCAGAAATATTTTTATCTACAAATAAATATTATCACAACTTTTCAGCCAAATTTTGCTTAATTTCCATGCTCATGCTCATTGTTTTCTGATGTTGGTCACATTTCATTTTATACCTTTGTGGTAAAAGACTGTGTTTTATTTACGTTTGTAAACATCACTGCTTATATAATATTCAGTGCACTAGAATTTTGATATCACATGAGTTTTTATGAGTTTTGTTTTTAATTGCTGAAGAGATGAGACATGAGAACTTCATTTATTCAAGATCAGAAAGTATCTTAAAAGCTTTGTATTTCCCAGCACTCCAGAGAATGAGGCAGGAGGATTGCTGTGAGGCCAGCCTGCATTACACAGTGAGTTCAAGGCCAGCCTGAACACTACATAGTAAGACCCTGTCTCAAAAAAACAAAACAAGAAAAGGCTGTATTTGACTCATCTATTAAATATTTATAACCCTTCAACAAATCTACAGAGTGATCATTCTCTGTTTCATGTGAGAAAGGAAAGAAATTAATATTGGTTGAGTCAGATAATTTGTCAGTGTAATGGATATCTATATTTGATGTCTTAATTTTTACAATACCACTGCAGGGTGAATACTAGCTCCAAACTACAGATGAGAAAACTGAAGCTGAGAGAAGCTAAGTAAACTCGGTGTGAATCATAATCAGATTAAAAAACAGGGCTATCTGGTCTAGAAGTCTTTCCCTTTAATACCCTACTGTTGTGAGGAATTAGATAGACATATCATTCTTTTATTATGTAATTGACATCTTTGTTAAAAAGTAGTTTGCCATGGAAGAATTCCTGATCTCTGATTTCTGTTTCTGACATAAACTTTGCATTATCCTGAGTAAACCACTCAATGTATCTCAGCCTCAGACACATTAAAATAGGGAGATTTCACTGAATGTTCTTTGGGGGTCTTTCTGGCTTAAACAGTCTTTGGTTATAAGTGTACTTACTTTTATAGAAGGTTTGTGTATGGGTGGCAATTTCTGTTAGCATCGTGAGATCATTTAAAATAATACATTTTTATAGCCATGGTTCCTCTGAATATAAGTAATATATTCTACTTGCTAATTAAAATAAACTAAAAATCAGGAAATATAGTACTAAGAAGAAATCTTAATTCTGTTATCCAAAAGGTTACACTGAAAAAGTCTTCTGGTCACTAATTTGTATGACTTGAAATTGCAGTACTGGAAGTCAGATATATATGTATATGTGTATGTATGAGCTTTCATAAGCAAAGGCAATTACTACATGAACTGATCTTGCTAAGGTCACTAGTGACCTTTGTATGTTATTTAGTGTTGTTTTATTGGTCTATATATTTCATACTATTTGGCCATTGTTGCCTAACATTCTTCTTTTGGTTCTTTGGCCTTCACCTTTGGATTTTTTTGCTGCTTCTTGCTTGGTTCCTACCACCTTTGTCATTTTTCCTGGCTGCTTTCTCTTTCTGGCAGTCTCTTAAATATTGAAAATCCAGAATTTTTTTGAAGTCTATTCTTATTTTGTATAATCCTTCTGGGTTTTTTTCAGGTACTTTTGAGATTTAATTACTACCTGGATACAACAGCTTTGAAATGTTTGTCTCACCTAGTTCTCTTTTTCTTAGCTATATATATCTGTATTTTCAGCTGCCTGTTGGACATCTCCACCTATATATGCTAAAGACAATTTGAAGTCCATATGTCTAAAATTTCACTCATTACTTCACTATAGTTAACTATTCTTTCTTTGTTCTTTTGTGAATTTCCTCTTCTCCACCTCTACACTCACCATTATAAACTATTATTTATTTTTCCATAGTCTTTTATAAAAGTCCCCTAATGATTTCTCTAGACTTCAACATCACTATCACTTATGAGAAAGAATCTTATCTATGAGTAATTTCTGCTAGTTCTATGGAAAACACTTCCTAAATTCCCAGATAAAAAATGGTCTTATCAGAATTTTGTACATTGATACTCTTCTTAGCTTGAGTACAGCAATTATATCTGCTTTACTTTATAATAAGTTAGCATGAAACTTATAAGACTTTTACGTGTGTGTGTGTGTGTGTGTGTGTGTGTGTGTGTGTTACTGGAGATTGAACCTGGGCCTCATGTATTTATTGCTTTACCACTGAGCTATATCCCCAGCCCTAAGACTACTTTTTCTCAAATAAAAGAAAATGACTGCTCTTCATTTTAAAAGAAGTGCCTTTTCCCAAACTACATCTTGTTATACCAAGATAATTAGGTAAGTAGAAGACCTGAGGTATAGTTCGGTGATAGAGAATATTCTTAGTAGGCTCAACACCCCAGGTTCAAGCCTCAGTACCTGTCCCCCAGAAGTAGAAAGTAGCATCTAGGGTTATCTCTAATCTAAGGTTATCTCTAATTACATGTCATTTATATAAATGCTCTTGGAAATAAGCAGCTTCCAAGATTTCCCAGTATGGATCTAAAGAACATATATTCTACCAGAGCAAAATATTTTAAATTATGAAACAATTTTAGAAGAAAAAGGCCAGCACTCCTCCCAAAAAAATAGATTTTAAAGAATTAAAATATTGCAACTAATTCCACATATCTTATCCAGTCGAGTATTTGGTGCCAATTCTAGCTTGTGCTCTATTTGCAAAATCCAGTTGTGTTTCTTGCTACCAACTATATCAAGCCATGCTAGGTTATGATGACATTGGAGACACAGATAGGTAGTTAAAAGAGGACAGAAGTACTAGCTACTTATATCTTCCAGCTCTTGCTGTTTAAACATTTTGAGGATGGAGGTTATATACTCTTAAATTAGTGTCTTCTGGTATTTTATATTTATTTTATGTTTGCTTATTTTTAAGATGGCTTGTGTTTTTTTAGGCATCTGTGGGAAAACTAGAATTGCAGAAGTAGGAGGTGTGCCTTACTTAATGCCTCTTGTAAACAATAAAAAAGTAAGTATATTTTTATTCTTCACATTCACATGAAGATTGTTCCTCTTTATTGTTAGAAGATTCATTAGTCAATGTGCCAGGCAGGAGGGTGCTAATGGACTCAGCAATGAAAAGTAAACCAGAAAATTTGTGTAAGCTGTGATTTAAATATTTTTTTCCCTTTATAGGTTTATGATCTGAATAAGATTGCAAAAGAAATCAAGCTGCCTGGAGCTTTTATTCTTGGAGCAGGGGCAGGCCCATTTCAGACTCTTGGGTTCAATTCTGAGGTCTAGTATATATACATAATTATCCATTTTATTGATTTGTCATTTGCTTTTCCTTTTTCCTTTTACTATTTCAGAAAGCATACTTTCTGAGTGAACTATAAATGCTTGATGATGTCATATCTCCCTACACATTTGACACATATCTGGACTGTAGTACATGCTCCAGTTGGTCCAACTCCAATGGAGCACTAATGTTTAATTTCAGATTTTCTCAGGGGATTACGTTCAGCCTTGGTTGGATTGAGAGCCTTGGATATTCTGCTGAAGGTCTTGGAGTGTAAAAGGAGTTTTATTCTTATATATCATACCTTCCTCACTTCTCTGTAAATCTTTGCTTTTGGTATGAAAGAAGCTTGAATTAGAAGATGAATGGAGTAATGATCCAATCTAGAATGCAAGCCAAATAGTAGGAAACTATCGTAGTAATATGATGGTTATTTATAGCAGTTAATACCTATTATCAGTATATTTCATACACATGCTGTAGCACATGTGATATATACTAAATAGTAGCATATTAGTATTAACATATATGAAAATATATACATTTCATGATACTCAATATTGTATTAGTAATAGTAATATTACTATATATGAATACATACTTATATGAAATACTTAAAATGTTTTAAACTGAGATAAAATTTTGTTATATTATTCAAAATGGTGTCTTCATAGAGATATTAAGATTAATTACCTTCTCTTGTTTTCAGTTTATGCCAGTTATTCAAACAGAAAGTGAATACAGTCCTCCTGTGAACAGCAGTTACTTTGCCTATATTAACCCTGCAGACGGAGGGTGCCTACTACAGAAATATAGTGAGAAACATCATGATTTTGGATGTGCACTACTGGCTAATCTTTTTGCCAGTGAGGGCCAACCTGGGAAGGTAATTTGTCCATAAAAACATAATGTTCTTTAAATGTTCCCAGATAGCTAAAAATTTGAATTTTTTATGCTAAATGGGGTCTTCCTAAGAAAATTAGAGCTACCAAAATCATAGCTCTTTATATAACACAGTTACACAAGAATCAGGATAATATAGGCAACATGAAAGTCTTATTTAAAACTGAAGAATAATACTTAGTAAGTAATGTTTTTCTGAGTAAATGAAAAGTAATAGAGCTGGGCGTGGTGGTGCATGCCTGTAATCCCAGCACTTGGGAGGCTGAGGCAGGAGGATCACTACAAGTTCGAGGCCAGCCTGGGCTACATAGTAAGTTCAGGGCCAGCCTGACCTACAAAGAGAGACCTTGTTTCAAAAAAGCAAAAAAAAAGAAAAGAAAAAAGTAACAGTATTAATTTGGTGTTAAAAGAACTATGAGGCTACAGTAAATGCCACCTATAGGTAGTACTTAAGTAATTTGCTCATTTCTGACCAATCACACATTGTGCTGGATAGAAATGGTGATAGCAAAAACTTATACCAAGCAAAATATACAGAAAATTAATATCTTCATATTTTTTCTTTTTAGGACACAAAAAGATTTTAGTGTTAGCATTTGTGAGGATTCCCAGATTTTCTAAGTAGAAATAGCCACTTCAGCTAATTGAGAAATGAAGTAGAAAAGTACTACTAAATACCTAAGAGAGAAAACTTAGTTTTACAGGAAGTGAGAAAATAGAATCATTTCTCCTCATCTCCATTTAGCAGAGGTTAATTCTTTTTAGCCAGGGAATTCTCAGCCTTTTCTACTTTGACATATATACTTAAGAGTCTCTAGAGTTCAGTGTAAGACTCAGTTCAGGAAAGCATAAATAAGATTTATTATTAAAGGTATACATAATTGATATATTTTTGTATACAGATACATCAATTCAGATCTGGGTATGCTAAGTAAACGAGAATATTCATGGAATTGTTACATTTCGGCAGTGTTTACATAAAATTTTACAGCTTACTAAATGGTATGCATATTTATGTTCTCTATAGGTCATTGAGGTAAAAGCCAAAAGAAGAACTGGACAACTTAACTTTGTGACTTGTATGAGACAGGCTCTGGGAACTCATTATGGAAATAAGCCTGTAGGGATGGGAGGTACTTTCATAGTTCAGAAGGGAAAAGTAAAGGCTCACATCATGGTAAGTTCTTGCATGTGTCAGTGTTGTTGTGCATATGGTTACATTCTTAGGATTTTAAGTATGTTGAGAATTCTACCTTTAAAGAAACCCTGAATAAATCTTTTGCTAGGAGTGTATTAAATTTTAAATGGCAAACTATAATGTAAATCATAATGTGAGATGTCATGGAGAGTTCTCTTTTGTTTGCTTGAGTTTCCTTTTTTTGAGACAGGATCTCATTATGTAATCCAAGCTAACATGGACCTCATTGTGTAGCTCAGGGAACTTTCTTTTCAATGTACTTATTTTTTTTTTGGTACCAGGAATTGAACTGACATTTTTGCACTTGCAAGGCAGGCAGTGGAACCACTGAGCTAAATCCCCAGCCCTTCAATGTACTTATTTTAAGACCAAGATTAATTCAAGTATAAGCCTTAAAAACTGTTTATTATTTTCATTACCAGAATCCCAAACTCAATACATAACAGACTTTGCAACTAAGATGGTTGTGATATAGGGAAAAGAAATTGCATTATGAAAATTATAATCTTATGGTTCTGTGTACGGTGCCAAGCACCTGTAGTCCCAACGGGTGAGGCAGGAGGATCACTTACGCCCAGGACTTTGACATCAACCTGAGCAACATGTCTCAAAAAAAAAAAAAATGTGTTACAAGTATGGAATACCATATGAAGCCAGGTTTAGGCATTCAAGACCTTTTTGTTTCACAATTTTTAGTAGCTGAATAAATGAAGTGTAAAAATAACTACAACAATTTTCTTTTTTTCCCTTTTTTTTTGGAGACAGGGTCTTGATATGTAGTTCAGGCTGGCCTTGAAATCGCAGTGATCTTCATGCCTCAGCTTCCTAAGTTCTAGGATTACAGACGTGCATCACTACACCTGACTCCTAGCACCATTAAAAGTTGTCCCTTTTACTTGCTGAATGGTGTCGACACTCTGAAAATAATTTCATCCTATAGGCAAGGGCTTTTATCTGGCTTCTATATTCTATTCCATTGGTCTGGATGTCTGTCATTACACGAGTAATGAGTGGTACTATTTTATTACTGTAGCTTTGTAGGAAGTTTCAAAGTTAAGAAGTATGAGATCTCTGACTTTTTCAAGTTTATTTTGAAAATTTCAGTGTCCATATATTCTATATAAATTTTAGGATGGAGTTTTCTGTGAAAGTCATTAAGATTTTAGTAGGGCTTAAACTGAACCTTTTCTTTCCCTAGTGCTTGGGACTGAAACAAGGGCCCTGCATATTATAGGCAATTGGCAGGTGCTATACTACCGAGCTGCACCCTCAGCTCCACAGTGAATCTTTAGATAGCTTTGAGTAATACTGATATTTTAATATTGAGTCATCCAATCCCTAAAGATGAGGTAAGATGTCTTTCCACTTACTGGAGTCTTTTTCTTTCAGCGATGTTTTGTAGTTTTCAGTGTATGTCTTTTACTTGCCTGGTTAGGATTAATTCCAAAGTATTTTGTTCTCTTTTTGAAGCTTGTATTCAATCATAGTGCTTTATTTAAGTGGTAGACTGCTTGTTTGCCTAGTATACATGAGGTCCTGGGTTTTATCTGATGCATCGCAAAAAATATTTTTTTTAAAGATTAGAATGTGGAAATATACATAGGAAAATTGAGAATCTATGAAAAATAAGAGGGGGGCTGAGGCTATATTTCAGTAGAAGAGCATTTGCCTTCCACATGCAAGGCCTTAGGTGTAATGCCCCAACACAGCAAAAAAGGCAAAACAAAAAAAGAATAAAGAAAAACATAGTAATTCATTTATTCATTCCTAAGCTTTAATTTATACACAGTGATTGGCTTTTTGAAAACTAGGTTATATTATTTAACTTATGCCAAAAATAATAGAATGTTTAAGAAAATTTCAAATTTTAAACTTAATGAAAATATTTTTAAATTTTTAAGTTCTCAATAATATTCAGTATGCTTGTTTAACCATCTTTCATTATAGCCCACAGAATTTTCCTCTTGTCCACTGAACTCTGATGAAGAGGTAAATAAATGGTTGCATTTTTATGAGATGAAGGCACCTCTGGTTTGTCTACCAGTTTTTGTTTCCAGAGACCCAGTAAGTCTTATTCATTTATATTATTGTATACTACAATGATAAAGCTTGATTTTTAGGATATTGTTAGAACTAGGTACTTTTTGTAGTGGTCTCATTTAAGAACTAGGATAGTCTATAGAATTATCTTGAAAGATAAGGAAGTAGGTGACTTATACCCTATGAGCGAGGCAGAGCAGATTTTACCTTTTAGTATATGAAGGCACAAGCATTTTCAGTAACACTCAAAGGCACACTATTAAGGTAGAATCAGGGCCGGGGAATTTAGCTCAGTGGTTCCGCTTCCTTCCCTGCAAGCACAAGGACCTGAGTTCAATCCCTGGTACCAAGGAAAAAAAAAGGAGAATCACACCTAGGATTCAGATCTCCTATCATTTTATTTGGTGTTCATCATATTCTAGTACTGTACACAGGAAAAAAATTAATATAGATAAATTCAAAGCAAATATCCACCCCAACATGGACTAGTTGTGTATTTTGATCCAGTGATCACATATCTAGGATTTTATCTTTAAATATATGCATAACTGGGGCCAGGGATTTAGCTTAGTGGTTCCACCGCCTGCCTCACAAGCATAAGGTCCCCAGTACCAAAAAAAAATGCATAATCTTGTAAAAAGAAAAAGTTAAAAGATTATGAATGACAACACTGTAACAGCAGAAATGGAAATAATATAAATGTTCGTTAAGAAATTACATACATACAATGGGATACCATGTAGGTATAAAAGAATGCAGAAGCTCTTTTATGATCTGATAAACAAAGATGTCAAAGGTTTAAGCTTAAAAAAAAAAACTATAGAACCGGGTGCAGAGTGCTACAATTTGAATAAAAAAAAGTAAAAGTAAATATTTCTGGAAAGATATATAAGAAACTGCTTACATATGTTGTCTGTAACAGGGAAAGGAAATGAGTGGTGAAGGCAAGTGAGAAGATACTTTTTACTGAATATATCCTTTTATACACTTGGATTTTTAGAATCATGTCAATTTGTTGTCTGTTTAAAAAATAAAATTTTTGTAACTAATTCCTCCTTATCCTTTAAACAAAAACTAATCAAAATAATTTCAGTACATACCAATACTACTTGTCTGTTGTCCTAGGGGTTTGATTTACGACTGGAACACACTCACTTTTTTAGTCATCATGGAGAAGGTGGACACTACCATTATGACACTACTCCAGATACAGTGGAGTATCTCGGATACTTTTCACCTGCAGAGTTTCTCTATCGCATTGATCAACCAAAAGAGACCCATGGCTTTGGGAGAGATTAAATCAGTTGATGCTTGTTTAGAAAAAGAAATAATTAAGGTTAAATAACTATAACTCATTAATTGATACTAATATAAAATCTAAACTGGGTGTGGTGGTACACACCTGTAATCTCAGCACTAAGGGGCTGAGGCAGGAAGATCACTGTGAGTTTGAGGCCAGCCTGGGCTACATAAGTAAGACCCTGTCTCAAACGAATCAAAAAAAATCTAACAAAAATTACAACTTAAATTTTTCTTTTTGGCTTTCAAATATATTTGACAGATCTTTCTGAAAGAGATTACTGGGAACACAAATAAATAACTGATATGTTCATTGTCCTTTTTTTTACATACCCTTATTGAACCAACTTCATTTTCAAAAAATTCTATAGTAGCAGCAAATCTATTGTGTTTTTACCTCAAATATTAACATGATCAAGAATCACCAAATTATTTCTACTACCTGGTAATAACAATTTACATTTGTATAATAATATATTAAAATTTTCAAGTTAGCCTCACAACTGCTAAGTGAATTATTTCTGGCATATGAAAAAAATCAGTGTTTAAAGTCAGGCACAGTGGCATGAGTGTGGTCCCAGCACTTCAGAGTCTGAGGTGGTGTCTTGTCAGCAGTTAAGTCTGGGGAGGTTCACTTGATATTTGAACAGCCTGAAGAAGAGATGCAGAGCTGTGGGCTGGTTAAACATCTTTTATTTAACTGCTTAGCCATAGTCCCTCTGTTGAGCTGCTCTATTGGCCCCCAGCTACTGTACATTCACAGCAGTCCTCAGTCCTCTAGCCAGCCCATTCTCAACAGCAGTCCTTGGCCGCTTGGAACCCTCTCTCACAGCAGTCCTCAGCTGCTTAGTCTACATATATTCCAAAATACACAAAGGTGACCATGCCCAGTAACAACCTTGGTTATGTGAATTATTTACACCAGCCAGCACTGACTTTAGTTACAGAAGTTATTTACATCAGGGTATGAGGAGACATGCCTGCGCTGGAACCACTGACCCACTGTCTCTCAGATTCCCCTCTCTTCACAGCCTGAATCAAAGTACTGCCATCTTTCACATTCATGTTTCCCTACAGATGGTAGGTTCTTTTGAATCTAGGAGTTTAAGACCAGCCTAGGTAACACAGTGAGACGTCTCAAATGAAGTAAAAAAGAAAAAGATAAAGAAAAATCAGTGTTAAATGCTGCTAGTTGCTGGATCTTTATACTGATTTTTTAAAATTCATTCTAGAAAACTGTATACTTTTTTTACAAAACAATATAGGCAAGCCCATCAACCCTTTGGTGGGGTAAATCATTTTTCACAGTTTGCAGTTTGCCTTTCACAAACATTAGCAACAAGTTGGTTAGCCATGAGTCTTCCCTTGTTTTGACTGCCATTTGGAAGCAGTTTGTACCTTGTTGGTTATTTGCAAGAATAGAAGAAAAAAGAAACAGCATCAAATTAATGAGTTGCATTGGTGATGTACCCCTATATTTTTAGCTACTTGAAAGGCTGAGGCAGGCAGATCACTTGAGCCCAGGAATTTGAAACCAGTCTGGGAAACATGGTGAGACCCTAGCTCAAAATAAAAAACAAGAGCTGAGGATGCGGCTCAGTGATAGAGTTCAATCCCGAGTATGTCAAGAAAAAAAAAGGCCAGGCATGGTGGTTCGCATCCAGCACTCTTGGAGTCTGAAGTAAGACTGATATAGCTCAGTACAAAGTCCCTAGGTTCAATCTCCAGTATTGTAAAAAAAAATTGAAACAAAAACTGATGTGAGGCTATTACTGAACATGACCACTGTGCTTCATGAAATATAAAATTATACTATGATATGATTATAATGGTTAAGAGTTTTCTTGATGTTCTACAATAAGCATTAGCTGAAAACCAACTCTCTAATGTAGCTAATGCCAATAAGGTACAAATTTAGGATTTCTTTTACTGAACATATAATCTTCAAATAATTTTATGGTTTTTTTAATACTGAGAATTGAACCCAGGGCCTCACACATACTAGCCAAGTGTTTTGCTACTTAGCTACACCCCAAGACTCCCCATAATTTTTTTTTTTTGAGACAGGGTTTCACTAAATTGTCCAAGTTGGCCTCAAACTTGCTATCCTTCTACCTCCGCCTTCTGAGCAGCTACAATTACAGGCATGAGCCATCATGCCTAACCAAATAATTTTTTTATTATTTACCATAGATGTTAGCTATAACATGTCTTGTGAAAACTGGGTACAGTGATACACACCAGGAGATAGGCAGGAGGATCACAAGATTGAGGTTAGCTTGGGCAACTTAATCAAAATAAAATATGAAAAGTGCCAATATTGCCCCCGCAAAATTGAAAAATTTTAAAAAGCCCTATCTTTTAGAGTATAAATCTGTTTTTCTTAAAGCAGATTTTTGTTGTTGTTTTTCCTATGTTGGGATTCCATCATGTTCCTCAGATCCTTTATTTTTTTATCTGTGTCCTCTCTAGATTTATTAATCATGTCTTGCACCATGAGCAAAATCTTTGCTGTTATCTGAGTAATTATTTCTGATTTCATTTTTCCCTCTTTTGTTGCCAGTTCAGAGAGTCCAGGCGGTTGAGTATCAGATTGTTCCATCTCGTTTCCCTTTGGGGTTGCTGTAGGTGATCTGGAAGTCTGTTTTTGAGGCTTGTTTACATGTCTTCTCATTTCCACAGAGGGGGGTGCTTCTGGTGCCCAAGCAGCTCACCTTCTCTGCCCTAGGAGCTTGGGATGGCAGCGGGGGAGCTTCCTTCCAGGTGCTGGGACCAGCTCAGCTTCTCTGCCCTAGGAGCTTGGGATGGCAGCAGGGGAGCTGTTGTTGTTTTTGAGATAGAGTCTCACTGTGTAGTTCAGGCTGGCCTTGAACTCATGGTGATCCTCCTGCCTCAGCCCCCCAAGTGCTGGGATTACAGGCATGCATCGCTACCCCTGGCCACTATTGTTTCTCTTTATGTCCAAATAATAATATTAGTATTATTTTAATATGTATGTATTGAGCACTTGCCCTACCCTCTAGAATGTAAACTTCATAAAAACAAGATGTTTGTTCATCACTGTAGCACTAGTGCCTTTAACAGTGTTAGTCAAAGTAGGCACTCAATAAATATTTGAATGAATGAGTAGGTGGATGTTTACACCAGACACTTCGCTGGATGCTGGGGACCTGTCTAGTAAGTGCTATGTAGAGAAATAAAGAAGGGGCAGACTGTAAAGGAGGAGGCTCCATTACACCACTGACACAAGATGGGTTCTCTGCATTAATTTAGTTCTATATCAAGACTGATGAAGTCATCCCCGAAAGGGTTTATTCCTCATAATGAAGCCTTTTGGGGAAGAGCAGGGAAGCTCCTAAGCAAGTCCAAAAATGACTTCAGAGAACAGGGAAAGGAGATAAGTTTTGAGGATTTTGGTGATTGGGGGTAGGACCAGGGTGATAAGGTTTGAATTTCCCATAAGTGAAGAGCACTTAGGCCAAGCATGGTGGCACATTCCTGTAATACTAACTACTTGGGAGACCGAAGCAGCAGGATCACAATTTGAAGCCACCCTGGGCAACTTAGTGAGACCCTAAGGCAATGCTGGCGAACCTATGGCCCACATGCCACAGCCAGCTGTTATCACTAAAGCTCTAAAAGGTTTCCCATCACTGCCCTAAGGGCTGGGAATATAATTAAGTGCTCCCTGGGTTCAGTCCTCAGTACTGCAAAGAAAGCAAGAGCACCCAGGTTATTTTAGCTTGGCAAAATGTAGGGCCAAAGGGAAAGGAGGGGTTATGGTATAAAAACTGTCAGCAAACAAACAACAACAAAAAAAGGAAATAACTCTTTAGTTAGACATTTTACAAACGGGGATCAGAGAAAACCTCTATTATACATTTGAGCAAAGACCTGAAAGAGATGAGGGAGAAAAACCATGAAATTTATTTGATAAACGTTTTTTTCTAGCGGACTCACCGGCCCAGTAGCAAAAGAAGACTTGGTATGTTCAACAAATTGCAAGGAGACAAAATAGGATCACCTGACTATGCAGTTAACATTCCAGTACATGCAACAACAACAACAAAGGCTGTCTATATACTTATATATAACCTTTCTGGAAAAAGACTAAAACTTTAAAATTTAAAGGAATGCTGGGCCGGGGGCTCAGTGGTGCCGCATTTGCCTGGCAAGCACAAGGTCCTGAGTTCGATCCTCCATGGGGGCCAGGGGGATCCTAAATACTGTAATTATATTCATGACAGTACTCTCATAGAAGTATCAACCTTTGGGCTGGGGATTTAGCTCAATGCTGTCACTGCCTCGCAAGCCCAAGGTCCCAAGTTCGATCCCCGGCACCAAAAAAAGAGTATCAACCTTTTTCAAGTCTATAAATTTAATTCAATGTCAGTCTAATCCCAGTAGGTCTTCTTATAGGACCTTACCAGATATTCCCAGAATATATAAGCTAACAAAGGGCAAAGACAAAAATAATTTTGAAGTCAAGGTCAGGGGGATTTAGTATATACATAACAAAACTTACAAGATGGTGTGGGTTTTTTTGTGGTACCAGGGACCGAACTCGGGTCCTTGAGCCTGCGAAGCGGCGGCGAAACCACTGAGCTAAATCCCCGGGCCCTGTGGGTTTTATCATTATGGAGAACGAAGTCAAAGAACAGAAAACCAAGGCCAGAAAAGATCCTTGTATAGCCAGACTTCGCTTTTTTTTCACGGAAGAGTCACTGCAGATCGATGAGGAAATGAAAATGTTCAGTACCCAAATAGTGCTGACACAACTATTTATATGGAAAAATAAAATTGGACTGTGTTCAATACCAAATAAAGACCTAAATGAATGTTAACATTTCTTCGACCTTCCTAAGCCTTCTTTTCTCCATCATGTGCAAACCAATAACACTTAAGACACAGACAGACACAATCCAAGAGCCTCCCCACAAGCCCGGAACCTCTCCCTACCTGCGTGGGACCCACCGGAAACGCTCCCCGGCGGCCCACAGCGCCTGCGCTGGCCCAGCGTTGTTCCTGGAGACGGAGCGGCAGGAACTTCGCTGTGCATTGTGGGAGCGGCGCTGGGCGCCCGGCTTTGTCTCCGCCCGAGTGCTGCGTTCGTCCTCCTCAGGGTTCCTGGGTTCCGGGAGTCCTGCTCTCCGCGGAAGCTGTTCTGCTTCTTACCTCGATTTTCCGCTGGCTCGGCGGTCTGCCCGCCTACGCCACCAACATGTCTGGAGTTCGCGCTGTGCGGATCAGCATCGAGTCGGCCTGCGAGAAGCAAGTCCAGGAGGTGGGCCTAGATGGCACCGAGACGTATCTGCAGCCTCTGTCCATGTCACAGAATCTGGCGCGTCTAGCCCAGCGGATCGACTTCAGCCAGGGTTCGGGCTCCGAGGAGGAGGAGGCGGCGGGGGCGGAGGGCGACTCGCAGGACTGGGCGGGTGCCGGGTCCAGCGCGGACCAGGACGACGAGGAAGGTAGGGCTCATTGCTGCTGCAGCGCGACTGGCTGGGGCCCTAGAGGCCGCCTGCTGTCACTGCCCCTCCCGCTCGCGGCCAGATGCTGGCGTCGCTTAGTCACCCGCCGGGGCCGGGAGGTTCGAAAATGTCACCGGCCAGAGCCCGGGATTCCAGAAGCTGAGATAAGGAACCTAGCCATAGAGTAAGTTTGCAGGTTCGCTGACTTCCATTCCGGAAAAAGAATTTTCAGGACTGGTCAGAAAAAGCCATGGGAAGGGTTTATTAGGCAGAAATTTACAAGTACACTCAAAGAAGTAGAGTACGGGCCCTGAAAGGGGCGGGGGGGGGGGGGGGGGTGACAGACATTATTTTCTGGAACTGGGGAACATTTATGCTTCTTTTGAGGTGGGGTGGGGCCACTAGGAAAAGGTGAACCACCCCCAGAAGGGTACTGACCCATTTTACAGGTATGAGCCGGATCTCCCCCCACTCCCGCCGTAATTTAAGCATGCTTTGAATTCTCTCAGCCTTTTTGTTTAGCTTAGGATCAGGTTTCTGCTGTTTACTTTCTCAATCCAGTATATAGACTTACAGTTCCTGAGAAATGTTGTGTGTGATGGGTCTGGGAGGGAATGGAGCCTAAATTTAACCAAGGGAATGCCCACATAGATCGCCTTACCTAACTTCGACTGGGTCCCAGAAGTTGCAAAATTAAAAATTCATTTTTTAGCTGTGATTTTATCACCTTTCTACTTATTTTATTTCTTCTATCCTACTTTGGGAGTCTTTTGAAAGTAACACTGTCGTGCAGTAATTATTTTGCTCATTGTAGTCTTCTTTAGAGCCAGTTTAGGACACTGCTTGACTATTTCTTGTCCTTCTGTAAGTCTTATTGAGTGGGAGCATTTGACACAATACACTGTCACTGGTGAAGCGTTTAAATTTTTTTTAATAGAACACCGGTAATGAGGCAGACTTAATGATTAAGAGCTCAGTAGCTCATATAGTGGTTGTGCTGCACATTAGTTATGTGACCTTGGGTGAGTTACTTTGCCCCTCCCTATGCAGTGTGGATGAGAGAGAGTAGCACCTACTGTAAAGTGGTCTGTGTTGACTGGAATAAGAAATGAAGTATAAGAGGTAGACAGGAGTCACATCATGTAAGACCAATGGGCCATGATAAGCATTTGGCTTTTATTAGAAGGACAGCTAGAAGCTTGGGGGAGCGGTAATTCTTTTTGTTTTATTTATTTGTTTATTTATTTTGGGGACAGGCTCTCCCTCTCTGGTTCCGGCTGGCCTTGAACTCACTATGTAGCCCAGGCTGGCCTCAAATTCTGGGTGATCCTTCTGCCTCAGCCTCCAAAGAGCTAGGATTACAGGTGTGTGCCACCACACCCAGCTTGAAGAAATAATTTTTTAAAGAGTTTACTTAACTAAAAAAAAAAAAAAAAAGATTTTACTTAACTTTGGAAGTAGAAGAGACCTGCTTAAGATAGGAAACAGACACAAAGGAAAATATAGCTATATTGATTTTATAAAATTTAAAGATAATGGAAAAAATGCCATACAGTAAAATGGTATCAGACTGGGAAAAGTATTTACAACATGTAAGACACATCTTGTTATTTAAAGAGTCTCTTGAAACTGAAAAAATAACTGATGGGGAAAATAGGTCAAAGACATAAACAGCTCATAAAGAAAAGACTTCAGATGCCAGTATGTAAAAGTAATGTCAGCTCAATCTCAGTAGCAGGGAAAGACAAATCAAAATATCAAGATGCCATTTTTATGCATAAAATTGGTAGAGATTTTAAAGATTGTTAATATCCAGTGTTGGGAATGTGAATTTGTACAGTACTTTTTAGAAGACAGTTTAGCAGTTTAATGTGCCAAAATTTTAAAGGTGCATCTCTTTTTATCCACTAACATTTTACCCAAGTATTTAAGCTCCAGAAATGTTGTTTATCTACATGGGCATATATTCAAGATTCTTACCACTCCTAGTTTTGCGGGAGGCACTCTGCATGTCTATTAAGTAGGAATGGTTGAGTATATTGTACATCCATGTTCCAGAATATCATATACTGTGTTAAGAGAATGAGGTGGGTCTGTATGTACTGACATGGAAGTGTCTCTAGGATATAGTAAGGGAGGAGGGGAGGACAAGTAACAGAAAAATGAGAATATACATATGTAAATACATTGGAAAACCTTTGAAAGGGGACACTCCAACTGTTAATAATGGTTATCCCTTGGGAAGGGGGACAGAGAATCAAGGGTAAGAATGAAGGACAGCCCAGGCTCCTAGGGCAGAGAAGCTCACCCAGTCCCAGCACCCAGAAGGAAGCTCCCCTGCCACCATCCAAGGCTCCAAGGGCAGAGAATCTCAACCAGTCCCAACACCTGCAAGGAAGCTCCTACCAGGCTCCTAGGGCAGAGAAGGTGAGCGGGTCCCAGCACCCAGAAGGAAGCTCCCCTGGTGCCATCCAAGGCTCCTAGGGCAGAGAAGATGAGCTGATCCCAGCACCCGGAAGGAAGCTCCCCTGCTGCCATCCCAGGCTCCAAGAGCAGAGAAGCTCAGCCAGTCCCAGCACCTGAAAGGAAGCTCCCCCACCACCATCCCAAGCTCCTAGGGCAGAGAAGGTGAGCCCCGTGGGTGCCAGAAGCACCCCCTCCTGTGGAAATGAGAAGAGACGTAAACAAGTCTCAAAAACAGACTTCTGGATCACCTACAGGAAACCCAAAGGGAAACCAGATGGAATAATCTGATACTTAACCACCTGGACTTTCTGAACTGGCAACAAAAGAGGATCTGGGAAAAATGAAATCAGAAATAGTTTCTCAGATAACAGGAGAAATTGTGCTCCTAGTGCAAGACATGATTAATAAAT